CTTTATCCATCCGGGTACGAACCACGTTTTCGACATAGGCGGATTCAGGAGGACGAGGATGGTCGACTTTGTTCCGATCACACCAGCTGAAAATGGTGGATTTCATGGCGAGATTTGGTATGACATTGGAGAAATCGGGTCGGGTTCCGTCGAGAAGATCCGGTACGAACCCTAAGTTACGACAGACTTGAACGGAGAGACGCTCGAAGGTTTGACCAGATGCGACGACGACGGGATCCGACATGAGAAATCCGGTGATAGGGCAAAGAAACTCCGGTGGAGTCTCGTCGTGCTTGTGCTGTGGTACGGTTGTGGCGGTGGCTGAAGCGGATCGTTGGTGGAAAGAGAACCATCTCTGCCGGTTATTTCCACCCATCGCCAAAGAGAGAATAGAGAGAAATCGGAGAAGAAGAAGTGCCTCCGAGCTAAGAGCTCGAAAGTCGAAGTATTCAGTCTTTGATCCAGTCTTGTTTCACAAAAGGTTTTGGGTGATTAAACCGACCCAAATTAAGTCGGATTAAACCGGAAAATCCTATCAATTGGACTTTGTTTACTCTTTTATTAAAACGGAATTGGTAACGCTGATAGTAACGACTCTGGCTTTTCTGACTTTTTCTTGGTTTACTTTTTGTTTTTTGATAATTAATATTGTAAAGTTGATGATCATTGATGGATACCTTAATTATGTAATATGTATGCCATGAGCCAAAAATAATTTCCAATTTAATACACTAAACGATAAACTACTAACATAACTTTAAATCCCCCCCCCCCCAAGAAGGTGTCTATGAATTTTACCAAAGGCCATATAATGCGAAAAAAATTATTGGCTAAATCAAGTTTTGTTAATTGGAATGATGATTGTAATTTCCTTAGGCTGAGTAAAATGCACACCGTAATGATAATTGCCGGTGGCAGACACCTCAGAGCTCAGGCGTGTTACATACTCAGAAAACGAGAAATAATATTCTTTGTTAGATAAAAAGTTGTTGATATTAAGATAGTATAAAGTTCTTTTAGTAAGTGAAAACATATAATTATATTGTTTCTAGTGAGATAAAGTAATAGGATGATACTAGTATATATCGATTAGATAAAAGAAAAAAAAAAGAACAAGAACCATGACATCCACTAAGTTTTGTTTTGCTTTGTGTAAGAATCGTTCAATAGAGCAACGCAATCTTACGTACTAAAACACTATTGGACCGAGTCCAAAAAAAGCCCAATCCATATAAGAAACACACTAATGGGTTGTCACATTTATATAAAAAAAAAGCCCTTTCAATCTTAACCGTTAAAACAAACGGTTGATCTTTCAACGGCGCGTTATTCGAATTTGAAATTTCGAAAAATAAAACACACAGAATAAAAATAGACCCCACTCACAACGGAGCGTCTGGGGAAAAAATATGGACCCTACGATTCGAAATCAATCTAATCGGACGGTTCGTAGTGACACTCACTATCATCTCTCCTCATAACTCAAAGAGTTCAACAAAATTTCCCGCTCTCAAGGGCAAACTGCAACAAAAACTTATTAGGTTACGCGTTAAATTTTTAGGAGACCCTTTAACTTTAGATATCATCACTTTTAAGCCCACGCATTTATTTATTTGTCAAACTTAATCCTTTAATCTGTTTTCCAAAATAATTAGCGGTGTGAATGTATGAATAATTGTAAAAATATATTTTTTTTGTTTTAAACCAAATTATCATTGATTAAACGCGAATATAGAATCATAATTTATGAGATGGTTATTGGCTGTGGTCGAGAATGGGTTGAAATTAGTTTCATTTAAAATATGGGGCAATAAGAGAAAATATCATATAGTATAGGGGTCATATGTGCGAGTCTATTCTTTAGAAAAAATCAGTTTGCTTTGTTATGATAAGTCAGATTTCTCCGCTCTCTCAGTTTTTTCAAATAGCAATCTTCAGTTTTCTTCTCCCACTCCAAAACCAAAAAGAAAAAGAAAAAACAAAGAGTTTCTAAAATCTCATCAATGGAGAAATCGACGGAGAAAAGCGTGACCTCTGTTGCTTCTGGTAATTCGATCTTCAATTCCTTCTCTCCGATTGTCAATTTTCCAGTTTCATTTCGTAAATTTTCTGTTCCGATTTTGAATCTCGTGAGAAAATATCTTAAAACAGGAAACTCAATCAACTCGAAACTGAGGTATCCTCTCAGATCTGCTCTTAGATCCAAGGAAGGGAAGCCTCCTGTTCCTGATTTTTCAGGCTCTTCAGCACCCAGAAGGTATTGCACACAGATTTCGTTGTTTCGATGTTCATTACCAAAATCACCTTTCAGATTCCTCCTATGCAATAACGTTATTCCAGATCTGGTATTGATGAGAGATTGATTAGGCTTACGACTATATTCTGCATCACTGGCTTAAGAGTTTTATAAATTGTGTTTTGTGTGTGGATCGAATTTTCTCAGGGGACGAGCTGCATCTGCTGTTAGTCAGAGTACTACAGTTCTTGATTTGTCTGCTAAAAAGAGTGTTGATCGCACCAAGCCACCGAGGAGACTCTCGATTCCGAACAAGGCCACGAGCAGTTCTTCTGTTAAATCTGTTAGCAGCAGTATCACTTCTGTTTCCGAAAGTAAGGTAAGGAGACCTGTATCAAGTGCGCCGAGATCAGTGACTCGAAGAAAAGTTGAAGAAGATCTGTCTTCCTCTACTTATTGGCTGTCTCATATCAAGCTAGCTGAATCAGTGGCGAAACATTCGATCTCTCTCGGTTTCTTTAAACTTGCTCTTCATGCTGGGTGTGAGGTAAAATGCTAATTCCTATGGAAGCTTTGATTAGAATAAGCATTGGTTGTTTTGTTTCATTAACTCACTGGCTTTGTGTGTTTGGAATCTAGCCGATTGATCAGATGAAAGAAGAGTTGAAATCATACGCTCGTCGCAACAACTTGGATGGGCTTGCTGATGCTATGAAGGAACTCTCTGAACTGTACAATATCTCAGAAGAATCCAAGCAGATGGAGATCTCAGAGACCGGTTCTGTTGTAGCTGAGGAAACTACTGCGTCTCTCAACAATGATAATGATGTCCTCAGTTCATTCTCCACTCCTGGAGATTCGAACATCACATCAGAGACCACGAAAGACGATGCATTGCAAGATTCAGCTGTCATTGAAACATCCAAGGAAGAAGAGCCCTCGGAAACTAACCCGCAAGGAAGAACCAAAAGGTCTTTGGATGAAATCAATGTGAATCAAGAGGTTGTTCAAGAATCAGAAGAGGAAGAGACCTCGGAAACTAACCCACAAGGAAGAACCAAGAGGTCTTTGGATGAAATCAATGTGAATCAAGAGGTTGTTCATAAATCAGAAGAGGAAGAAACCTCGGAAACTAATCCACAAGGAAGAACTAGAAGGTCTTTGGATGTAATCAATGTGAATCAAGAGGCTGTTCAGGAGTCAGAAGATGGAGTTCCAAACGTGACTGTTGTTCAACCTTCAGACAAAAAACGTGCAAACAAGAAGGAAACTGTCTCTAAGAACAGCCAGCCCGTGAGGACAAAGAAATCACTTGCAAACAACTCTGCAAAAACAAGGACAGTTCCAGAAAAGAAGTCTCTCAAGAAGGATGAAAAGATCACTAAACCCAGGACTAAGAAAATTCAAGAAGGGACAAAGAAGACAACCAAGAAGTCTGCTGCTGCTAAAGAAGGTATTATAAAAATCAGTGTCATTGAAAAGCTTGTGAACTATATGTGGCTGATGGTGTTAAATGTTCGTTTGTGTAGCTGAAGTGAAATCTCTGAAGCAAATGGAGAACAAAGAAAACTCTGTGAGTAAAAAACTAGTTTAGTTCACATGATCGAATCGTTCTTGAATCTAAAAAGACTAACGCGAGCTTCTTCGTCGCAGGTTGTTGTCGGTGCAGGAGAAGTCAGGCTTGAATGAAGAACAGAGAAGCGTTTCTTTACTATCAAAAAATCAAAAAACTCTTTTTTTTTTCTTTTGGTTTGAATGATTTGTTCAAGGTACATAGTTGAAAAAGCTTTTGCTAGTTTGCTTAAAAAGTCTGGTTTGAAAGACAAAAACAAACATTACATTTGCTTGCTTTGTAATTGTGTCATGCTTTACGTCCATGTTTCTTCATTTCTACTATTGTCTCTGTTCAAATATGGTTATTCGTAGTTATCAAATATATTTAGGTTAAAAAGCTCATTCGGAAACTTGAAAAATCTGTGTTACATGACAAAGGAAGATAATAAATAATACTATTCCTTGAAGTTCCTCACAATATCCAATTACTCATACACATTGAATCATATTATACATAGCTCTGCTCCACGATCTCCCTTACTTTCCGGTTATATTCTCGTTTGTTCTCACTGAACAACCTTGCAGCCTCCGAATTTGCTGGCGAACTAGGGTTCGGGTCACAAAGCAGAGACTGTAATATACCAAAAAAAACAAGGCCTTGGTTAGTTTTATCATGCATCAACCTTACAATGCGAAAGATTCACTAGTAAAAACCTGAATTGATGTGAGTATTGCAGCAACATCATATATGGGGCTCCATTGGTTTTGTAAGATATCCAAGCAAATACTTCCATCAGCATAAACTGCACACCAAAGTTTAAAATATCAAAAGTCGAAATTCATTTTTGGTCTTCTTACTATTTTTTCCAATTGAATGCTTGTTGAGCTTACTGTTTGGATGAAACATCCGTGAAACAAACCGGACTACAGGGGGTTTGTTTGGATAATCCTCGGTGAATTGAAGAGTCATCTTGAAAGTACCTGACATGTTTATATATAAGCTTGGTTAGTTTAGCTATTAGTAAAATATGTCGGCTCTCGAAGCAATAAGTAGAGTAGAAAAGATTTTACCTCCATCCCATGCAGTGTCATCAGGTCTGCAAAGACAATGGAGAAATTCGTTTACGCAGAGCCATGTTTTGAAGCCTATTAAAGACAAACAAGAATTACAGAAATACGAAATATGTATCGAGATTTGTTACCCGAAGATTACAGCATTCCAATGCATGATATTGTTATCTTGTGGAGATCCACTTATCCCCACAGGAGGATCTTTCTGCAGTCTCTTGAAATCCCACATTAGTCTCTTTCTTGCTGGAGTTGCCATTAGTCAAATTCGCAAGACTGCATCGAAACATGAAAGATTTCAAGTTAACTCTTCTACTCACAAGTTAGGGTAAAAGAAACTGCATTTCACATGAATCAGGACTAAAATGTTTTGTTTAAAGCATTTTCTGATGAAAAATCTCAACTTTCTTGAAGCAGAGACCAAGATCTACATTTACATTATCTACTATAATTTTAACAGAAGTCCTGAAGCACCAACACCATTAAATCCCAAAAGGTGAATGAAATTTTGAATCAAAGAAACACCGAAGAGAGCAAATCATCTAACCAAGAAAATCTTGAGATAGTTTTACTAGGGTTGAGAGATAGTGAAGCCATGTTTTTAAACGACAAAAAGTGAAAGTGATTCAGTGAAACTCAAACCTAAAAATCGAAATTAAAGTAGATCAGATTCTACAATCACAAACGAAAGAAGGATTACATCAAGAATCAAAGCAAAAAAAGCTCGACTAACCTGAGATTGAATCAAGCAGGTGAACCTGAAGCTAGGGTTTATCAAAATTTCAACCTTTGATTGATTGATCGATCAATGAAAAAAATCCCGAAGTGGGTTTTGCGGAGAGAAAGAGATGAGTGGAGGATTTGAAAAAGTAAATTAAAGAGAATCAAAAGCACCGAAATTTGTTTTTGTTTTTTTTTTCTCCTCTTCTTCACCAAACAAGAGAATCTGTGAAGACCAAGAAATAAACATTTTAAACAATTTTTTTATTCCACTGATGGAAATAAGTTTTGAGATTTTTAATTTTTTATATTTTTAATATTTTGAGGAATCTCATTTATTAATCGTTTAGTGTAAAGACAAAAAACACGTCAATTGCCAAGCGGACGTGACTCAGCAAGCTATCCCCATTTTAAAATTATTTATTTATTAATTAAGTACTAATTGGAGATTTAACCTTATCAACTTTTTTTATTTATTCTAATTTACATGGACATCTGTTTAGCTTATTTTGATGTTAAAGATCTGTTGTTTATCTAATCTAATTTGATAGAGTTAAAAGTAGATAACAAATTACTTGTAATTTCATTTTTAGTTTTGTAATTCCATTAGTCCTCCTCATGAGTCATGAGGGTTTATACCTAGCTACTGAAATATATGGGGTTAAAAGGTAAATAATCTTAAAATAAAAGGAAACTATCTATAAATATCTAAAATTCATTTATGTATTCACAATCAATCAGAGGAAACGGACCAATACTCTCCATTTTATAAGCCAAAAACAAATCAATTCACCAATCTCTCAAACGTCTGATTTCATCTCTTTCTCCGCCCCTTCTGGATCTTACGCAATGTACAGAGTTTTTGCGAGCAGAGGACTCAGAGCTAACTCTCTGTTTAACAAATCCTCGACCTGGCTTGCTTCTTTGACCTCTTCCAGGTTCCATTTTATCTTTCGTTGATCTCGCAAAATG